TACACTGTATGTTTTACCTGATGAAGGGGATCCTTTGTGACCCCGAAACGTTCGTTGTTTGCTACCATGATGCACGTCAATAAATAGACGTATTTTTGCAAATTCGGAGTGCCGGTGTCTCTGCTTCTGTTCACGATTGTTACGGCTGCCACCCGTTGACTAGCGCAGCACCCATTTCCTGAAGGGATTCTCGCGGTCAGGAGTGCGATGGGACCATGGACTATCTTGGCTGGTAGTGGGGCGCATTGAGGAACCCGGCCTTGGGGTAGCAGAGAGAGTAAATCTGACCCTGGTTGTGGTAAGGCAGCCTATTAATTTGTGTGCGGTCTACTCCATCTGAATCCCACCAAAAAAGGGCTTAACAGTTTTTTAAAAATCATGTCACACCACAATGCAATGTGGTAATACGTTGTAGCACGCCAAACATTGCCACACACAATCTCGCACATGTGGGAAGAAGTGCGGGAATGCACATGCTCGTGTGTCACATAGATGTGAACGGGGCCCTGCAGTGTTGTTTACGTATCAATATACTGTATATGTTATATGTCTTGGACTCATTTGTATTGTTTGAAAACATAAGAGCTGAAATTTCCCTGCAATGGAACAAATAACTGAGCACAGTCATAAATGATGAATTTGCAGATACTGGAACTTTCACATTGATGGACATTGAAGGTCCTAGCAAGCTGATCGCTGGAGAAGAAACTTCTCTGCACTGTAGTGCCGCCAACTGCCCAGAAAAGATAAATGTGACATGGCTGGAGAAGAGAGGAGGAGAAGAATGTGAAATCCCTGCGTTCCATGGAGGAGATAAGGAGGAAGAGGAGAGACTGCTGGACACAGAGTATGACATCATACCATTCAGAGAGGGGCCACACTACACATCTACATTGAAGTTCAGACCCAGTGTTTCCAAACACAAAGATGTCACCTTCATCTGTAGATATAAATGTGGGAAAGAGAAGAAAGAGAAAACATTTCCCTGCGGCACTATCTATGGTGAGGAGCGTCTATTAATACATCCATGGCTTTTATTCACTGTTGTGGATTAAGGGTGTGATAGCTTTAAAACAGGAAAATTACCATTCAGTCACCTTGTTCACTGCTCATACCTCGTCTTTTTTTAATAGGGTTCATGTCAAGCAGAGCAAAATCATTTAACGTGGTGTTTTTACTGAAGCACAATATGGCAAAGACACATTTTTCCACATGTATCCAATTAGAAAATGTGTCAATCTTGGGTGAAAGTTGCGTGAAGCATGTTTGAATTTTTTTTATAATTAAGCTGACATATACATGAAGCCATGGGAGGTCCTATAAAACTGAAAATTCTTGGGAGAACATTGCTTTTATCCAATCAGATGCCAGCGATGTCTGGGTATTCAGCAGTCGCTGGAGAAGCAATAGGAATGGTCTCAATGTTCGAGTCGAGCAATAGTCTGACTCGATCATCGGTAGTTCTTGTGTTCGGTTAACACACAAATTATCAGGGCGTTCCCCACAAGGCACTGGTTGGGTAAAGCAATGCACCTGACCACAGGTCAGGTGCAAGACTTTACCCAATCACAGCACAGTGCACTGTGAGAGCCATGATTGGGCAAAGTCGTGATGACTTTGCCCAATCATTGGTCACACAGCTAAGTCCTGTCAGGTGGCGAACAAAAGTAAACAGTTGAGTGGAGCTAGTGGTGATGTCACTGCTAGCTCCACCCAATTGTCTATATTTTGCCGGCATCCGTCAGAATGCCATTCTGCGGTGGGAGTTTGTCGCGGGCGGACAGGTCGGTGGGCGGCGGGTTTTCTTTTTTTAATTTCTATTTATTTTTTATTTCGACAAGTTGTCATTGAGGACAACGCTGGACGTCGTGATTGATCCTAGGGATACGGCGGTGGATCCATTATTTTACTGTATTTTTTAAAAGTGTTTTTTTCATTGATTCCTGTCCCCAGGGCAGTACCCGGATCCCTATACACCTTTTATGGCCAATAACTTGCATATAAGGTTTCAAAATGGGGACAATTGATTTTCAGAGTTCTACCCCCATTGACTTTCATTGAGTTCGAAGTTCAAGTTAGAACTTTTTCCATGTTCGAAAGTTCGAGTTAGAACCAAACTCGGGTGTGTTCGGACCATCACTAAGAAGCAATAGCTTGGAAAGGGGGATTCCTCCTTTCATGCTGTTCATGTTGTTTAGCATTGATGGAGGAATTTGTTCGATTTTTTATTTTTTTATCAGCCCCCAGGAAAAAAATGTATTAGTGTACAAATGGGTCAACTTTCAGCTGATTCAGCAGGAATCGGCTAATACAATCCATGGGTGGTCCCATCTCCTTAACAAAAGTCAATCATTAGATCAACTTTTGTCAAAGGGAAACAGATATTCCTGATGGGACGTATAGTGTCTGCAGTGAGGTCAGAATTCCTGAGGAGCTCCTGAAGGATCCAGAATTCAGAGTACGAGTGAGGTGGGAACATCAATCTCTGGACACACCGGGATATAGGGATCTGCCAATCAGAGACATTTTGGTGCAGCCATGAAAACAATGGCCAGCATAATGTGTCAAAAGGTACCATATACCAGCAATACAAGAGTTTGTAATTGGTTTCCAATGCCAAGATGTTTCATGAGCAGGATTTGGTGGTATCCCAGATCTGAGACCATTGTTCCTACACAACCTGTTATATAGCAGTTGGTGGAGGGGTGAAGGGCAATACTATGGAGAGTCACTTTAGTAACAACTCTGAATCTTCTGGAGCTTCTGACATCACATCCCAGATGGTGGCACCCAACAGCAGTCTCATGGTTTTTGGATGTCTACACAAGGGAGTATTTTTCAGGTAAATAACATGAATAACATAAATTAAATGGTTATATAATCTTATGGGCAGGTTGTTGTTCAAATGAACGGTCTGGTATTAGAGTCTGCTTATCAAACTAATTGGCTTGGGGATTAGGTACATTTGCTGAAAGTATATTTTTATGAATCTGATCTTGTGAATTTGGTGATCACTGAGGAATTTCCCATCTGCATGTAAAAAAAAGGGGCGGGATGCAATGATGTCATTGGCCTTATATGGCTTCATGGCTATATTAGGTGTACGACTTTACCTAGTATGGCCATGTGGCGATATATAATGTTAATGATGTCAGCACATGCTCAGAGGAGCTTAGGTTTGGACTGGGTTTGGTATGAACCTGAGCTCATCCATATTCATTGGCAGTAAATTTACAGGGAATCCAAGGTGACTTCCATGGATTTAGGGGGGAGGGGGGGGGCTGTGCAGTCTTTTAGGAGGCTGGTCAGATTCTTAGGTGGCCATTGTTGCTCTATGAGGACCAGTGCAGGGTCTCAGACTCTCAGGCGGTCAGTGCTGGCTCTCAGGCGGTCAGTGCGAGCTCCAAGTGGTCAGTATGGTATCATGTACCTGGTGGAGGACCAATTAGCTGAGGTGGAATCCCTTGCGGCTCTTCTCTCACACCCCTGGGAGTGGGAACAGCGAGCGAGTAGACAGAGAGGAGCACGGGTGCCTAGGTGTTCAGACACGGTGCCTGGTAGAAGTCCGACCACTGGAAGGATGAGCAGAGCTGGTGCACTGCTGAGATGTCAGCGAGGATTACAGTGGAAACTGGAGCGATGTCAAACAAGCTGGGGTTAAGGCCAGATGGTTAGCATGTTACAGAAGGAGCAGGCAGAGGCAGAATCCAGATAACAAGCAGAGGTCAGGGGCAGGCAGCAATCAGTCAAGGTCAGCTGCAATCCGGGTCAAGACAACAGCCAAATAGCAGGAAAACAAGGGACAAGCTGAAAGACCATTCAGCACTGACTCATTGAGACAGCAGGATTAAATAGGACCATCCATTAGAGAGCAACGTGTCACTTCCTGTGCACCACTTTCCGCTATGAGCGCATTCGCACTAGCGCATGTTTTCCAGCAACCCGGAAGGCTGGAACTCGCGCATGCGCAGTAGCATGCAAACTTCCGGCTATGGCCTTACATATGGGCTCTCAGGTGCTCAGTCCTGGCTCCGGGTGGTCAGTGTGGACTCTGGGTGGTCAGTGGAGCTCTGGGTGGTCAGTGGGGCTCTGGGTGGTCAGTGGGGCTCCAGGTGGTTAGTGCGGGCTCCAGGTAATCAGTGTGGGCTCTTAGGTAGTCAGTGCGGGCTCCAAGCGGTCGGTGCAACCTTCAAGGGGCCAGTGCAGGCTCTCAGGGGGCCAGTGCGGGCTCTCAGGTGGTCAGTGCAGGCTCTCAGGTGGTCAGTGCGGCTCCATAAGGTCAGTGTGGGCTCTAGGCGGTCAGTACGGGCTTCAGGAGGTCAGTGCGACTCTCAAGGGGCCAGTGTGGGCTCTAGGGGGGCCAGTGCAGGTTCTAGGGTGGCCAGTGCAGGCTCTCAGGTTGTCAGTGAAGGCTCTCAGGCGGTCAGGGTGGTCTCTCAGGTGGTCAGTGCAGGCTCCAGTGTGGGCTACAGGGGGGTCAGGGTGGGCTCCAGGGGTCAGAGTGTGGGCTCCAGGAGGTCAATGCGGCTCCAGGGGGCTCAGTGAGACTGGCAGCTACAGCAGATACGGCTCTCTGCTGAGGCATATCAGAGGGCCGCAGCTGCCTGGTCGGTTGGGTCGGCCCAGTCTCGATTCTGGTCGGGTGGGCCTATTTGCAGGAATGGGCCTGGAGCGGGAGCTCCACCCGCCCCTATGTTAATCCAGGCCTGGGTAAGCTGCGATATATTTTTCTTCTTGGGTTTCGGTAAACTCTAAAATGCTGTTTGTGTATTCCAGCTAAACCCCAGGTGGTGGAGCCTATAATGATCACTATCGGGGAATCGTCCAGTGTTCTCTTCTACACCCTCAATCTACAGAAGTTTTACCCGAAAGATATTGAAATAAAATGGAAATATGAATATGGAGATAAAGAGTGGGAAATGTCGCCCATTAACACATTCTCACTAAATGAAGATCTCACATGTGATGTCACCAGTGTTGGCAGCATTCTTGTGGAAGTGTTTAATAAACCTCAGAACAAAGTCTATGTAACGTGGAAACACGAATCCCTGGATGAGCCGGAGACCAGAACACTGACTGTAAGAGGTAAGGACATGGACCAGAGACATTATAACGTAGAGAATTAAGATACTGTCACTGTGGACAACCATAAAACCAACTGAGTGAAATAAATATTTATTTTTAATCAAAATGTATCAAACATCTGTTTATTCAGGAATATGTTATATCGTGTCATTCATAATGTGAGTGTCAGTTTCTCATTCATTACCGTCTAAGAAGTTTTTCCTTACCTTCTGTCCTGGAGACCAAACAAGTGGAAACTGGAAACAGGTTCCAAACAGGACAGGAAGTGACGGTAATAACATTTTGATGGAGGTTCTCATTATCCCCCCCCATTCCACTGAAATGTTTTATTACTGTTGATGTCCCCTTTGGAGAAATTTTGCTCACTCCCTGTCTCAGTGACCGATTAGGCAGCTATGGTAAAAAATCTTCCCGGTGACTAGAGAAGCTACAATAAGCGCCATGCTGCTTCTTACTTTTCATTTTGAACCTCAATTAAAAACAAAATGACCCTTGCATTGGGGCTCCCCCCAGGGTTAAATGCTTGCCTCCTTTAGGCAGCCGGTGGTCTCCTCTCTCCAACCCCCCTGTATTATGGATGGGCCCTCGGCGTTCTCACTTACAATGCAGGATTGCTGGTCCTGTATTGTACGTGGTGAGGTCCGAGTGCCTGTGACTGATGGAGTGGCAAAGAGAAGTGACACTCTGGGGTGAGCGGTCATACAGCTGAGAGGTGTAAGGTAAATACAGTATAGTTACTTTTTATATTCCCCCCCAGACAAAACGAGTGTTCACACCAGATGCTTGGGGCTGCGCTGGCCATTTTCTCCCAATGCCAAGCAAGGTCATTTGCCATGTTTTGAATGGAGTTCATACCAACATGTTGCAGAGGTGTGCGCTGAAGGAGAGTACAGCAAGGAGTACTTTTTTTTTCAGCACAGCGGGATGCGATATGATACAACCACCCCCACACCATGCTGTGCCCATAGAACTTTATGAAATGTCACTTGTGACATTTCAATAGAGTTCTAACAAAAAAAAAAGCTATAAAGTGCGATGTGCCAGGATTTTCACATTAGCATTGCGCTGGGCCAACGCACACCATTGCGTTGTAGCGCAGCTGCTGGTGTTAATGTTCCCTTAAAGGAGAACTATGGGGTTAAGACTTTTCCCCATAGTTCTCCTTATGGTAACGGGAGGACACAAACTAGCGTCCTTCCGCCACCCTAGGCTCAGTATACCGCTACAGCTTGTGACAGGATCGAGAGGTGAGCGAGCGCCGGTATGTGTTCGCTCACCTCCCGATCTACTGAGCCGACCTGTGACAGTCTCATTGTCACAGGTCGGCTAGAACTATGAGGTGAGTGAAAAGCACCCCCCTCATAGTTCTCCTTTTAACTCTTGCGGTGCTTGGGGCCCCTAAGGAAAGGATCATTTTTTTTTCCAGGATTTCAGCTTTAAACTGAGTAGTAAGTTTGTATGTCACACTATCTGTATTTACCTGTTCTCACATTCTTTACAGTAACGTTTAAAAGAAAGCTCCTCACAGGACCGAAGTGATCCCGGCTGTACATATAATGTCTCACTCACACATTGCTCGTTGCTTTTTCCAGCAGCAAACCCCAGTGTATGATATGAACTGACTTGTGTATCTCTAGTAAATAACTTTGTGTTGTAGATCTGCCCTGGCGCCCACAAGTCGGAGAGATCGTCATTCCCAACCTGGAAGAAGATAAGAAGGCCGATCTGACCTGTAACATCTCCGGATATTTCCCAGATCATCTGAATGTGAGCTGGTTTAAGAGGCTGCCCGGAACAGGCTCGGATCCCGATATAACACAACTGACTGATAATGATTTCCAAATCTGTAAAGAGCAGAAGAAAGATAAGACCTTCTACTGTCAATCATCTCTGACAATCACCCCGTCATTCATCAGAGACCAGGGGGCAGAGTTCACCTGTAGAGTGGACCATCCCAGCCTGGAGCAGCCCATAGGGAAGACCACGGGTCCCATAGGATTAGATAAACTCGCTGTTGATGGGTCTCTCTGAGTTTTATGTACGATGTTGCCCCTGAGTCGGTGAGTTGCGGCTAGGGGCCAGTTGGTTAAGTCGTATGCAGAGCTCTACGGTAGGAGACCAAAGGTGTCTTCACAGACCTCAGCTTCACAGTGATAGGAATACATTGTATTTAAACTGTTATGGTTGAATGTTTTATATTCAGTTTGTTATAAAGTTAATATATTTAAATAAACGGCTACTACAGCCATTTTATATCCAACTTGGCGTGGTCTATTATTGGGTATGGGTATTTATAATGGTTTAGGGCTGTAGCAAGCTAGGTTAAGAATATGCTTATGTCTTACCCTGTCATGTTCAGGTACAGCATACGACTTCTGTAAAACAGTCTGATCAGATCTCAAATCCAGGTTCTATGTGATGTACAGGCCTCATAAAGTAACAAAAAACTTTCTTTAGCTCCCTTGACTAAACCAAATCCTCCTTCATGTGTGTCTCACCCTTCCCCCTCCTAGACACTGCAGATCACAATGGGAGGGTTACAGGAAAAGAGGCAGAGCTGTCAATCCGGAAAGCAGTGGGTGGGATGAGGTGTGGCCAGGCGATGATTGACAAGCTACAGGCCTATGAATCAGCAGTGACAATGCTGATATCCACGCCTCCTGCAATATCTTCTCCTCCCACCGTATTGTAAGCAGGCACAGCCTACAGGAGAGAGACAACGCTGCTCTGAATTCAGGAGCAGTGCAGCATCGTTACCACCCCATCACAGGAAGCTGCATCAGGTGGACTTCACTGGCAGGATCAACAGGGATTGGTGGTACTTTGCAGAGGGACTAAGAAGAAACCGGAAGTGTGGATGGACTCATAATTAAGTGCTAAGACACATTTCTTTTAGTAACAATATATGGCTACGCCAAAATAAATACCCTCAACCACAGCTGCGTATAGGAGCTGGCAAAGATAAAAAGCAACACTTTGAAGGATACTTACACTTTTTTTTCTGAAACAGATGACTTTTTAATACATTAAGGGCTTGTTCACACGACATCCGTTTTGTGTGCTGACCGGCTCCGTACGCTGCTGCACTCAAATGCATCCCAATGTATCCCTATGTGTTTTATGGGCTCCAGTTCTCACGTGCGCAGTCCGTTCAGCTTACGACAGAAAAAATACTGCATGTCACATATTGTCAGGTCCGGAAACGGTCCGGAAACGCAAACGCGTCCAAAACGCGGCAAAAACGCACTGCACTGCTACTAACTACTAACTACTAACAGCTACACTCCAGCAAAAAAAAAAATTTGAACGCATCAAAAACGCGGCCAAAACGTGGCAAAAACGCACTGCATCAGTCTGCAGATCCGCACCTGATCAGGACCTGATCTCATGTGAACAGGCCCTAAGGGCCTGTTCACATGAGATCAGGTCCTGATCAGCAGACGTGGAGCTGCTGATGCAGTGCGTTTTTGACGCGTTTTTGATCCATTTTCGGTCCGGATGCTGACAGTTAATTTTTTGTCAACGTTGATGACATCATAATAAGTGGAGCAAGAATAAATTTTTTCTTTTTTTCCCCCTTAGCTGCATTGCGTTGCGTTTCCGTTCCGTTTTCGTTGCGTTTTGTGCACGTTTGCGTATCCAGACCGTTTCCGGACCGGACAAAATGTGACATGCAGTATTTTTTCTGTCGTAAGCTGAACGGACTGCGCACGTGAGAACTGTAGCCCATAAAACACACAGGGATACATTGGGATGCATTTTGAGTGCAGCAGCGTACGGAGCCGGTCAGCACACAAAACGGACGTCGTGTGAACAGGCCCTCAGGGGTAACCAACAGCGTTACAAATATTACCTGTTACCTCTGTGTTTTCTCTCCCTGTGCTTCGAGAACTGTCTTCACAGGTCCCTGGCCAGAATAAACATTCCTTTGGTCACAGCTATCATGTCTGCACCTGTAACTGTAACTGCAGACAAGGACTGAGAGGCAGTGTCCGTGTTTCTTGTACCTATTGAATGTGTTGTCTTCACTGCCAGAAAACATAAAAGATGATTTATGTGCTTCTGAAAATAGTGATCACCCGGCTGTCTCTGGAATAACTATTGTACTTATGTTCTGAGTCTCAGGTCTGGAGCAAGCATCCAGCAAATTAAAGTTAGAGTCCCTTATTTCTTTACTTGCTCAGTGGGAAAAGTTTTGAAGACCAGAGGACCAGCATGATAGATTTGCCGTTAGCATTTTCAGAAGGAGAGAATATAATTGGCAGTTTTAGTTAAAGTGACATTAAACCCTCAGATTTTTTAACATAAAACAATACTGTAATGTGCGCCTTACTGTAATCCATGGTAGTTTCCCTTCTCTTTGCTGCTCTTCCTTTTAAATCCGTATCTGTTCTCATGCTGGGGGAGAACTTCTGTTTTGCAGCAGACTGCCTTGTCTCTGGAATGGCTACATGGTGTCTGTGTATAGGTTTTTAACCTGAGCCAGCACTACAGGAAGAGGCCCTGAGCTGAAAAGGGAAGTTCTGCAGAGCATGAGAAGACATGAGGATTTAAAAGGAAGCGCAGCAAAGAGAAGGGAAACAACCATGGATTACAGTAAGGCGCACATTACAGTCTTGTTTTATGTTAAAAAATCTGAGGGTTTAATGTCACTATAAGTCTAATGTGAGTACAATGAGAAATATATAGAGATGGTGAAGAGCTCAGGGCTTTGTACCTTAAGGAATAGGTCATGTTGGATTTAATACTCAGTACCAGGAGGCTGGGGGCTTTACTGTGGATCTATCACACATGATAGTTCAATTGCTTGCTGATTGGCCCAGAACTTTCACATGGGGGTTCTCAAGCTCAACTATCCAGGGCTTCCTGTCATCACTGCCGGAGGCTGAATAGAGTGCCGGGGAGCAAAGATAAGTATGTGCAGCTTGTGGTTAGGACATCATAGTGGACCTGTTGTTCCGCCCTGCATCAGCACAGGTTCAGTAAAGAGTAGAACGTTAATATTTCTGTGTCTACAATGTGGAATATCAATGTTATACCTGTTATGCTTCATTCTTTAATATGTAATAAATATGGAGGAGTTGTGTACTATAATCTACCCAAGATGGGCTGGAATCTTAATGTATCTTAAAGTACATCTAACTGTTCCTGTATGACAGTCTAAACAAGTCCGAGGTCCAGTTACTATGTGATGCACAAGATTCTTAAGTAAACAAAAACCTTCCTTAACCTTCCCTGACTGAGCCGCATCCTCCTCTGTTGGCTGGAGTCACCTGTCTGCATTGATTGTCTTGCAACATTAATTCTTTGGGAGTCAATGAGTTAAGAATACAACATATAATAGAATAAAACTAGAGAATACTGGGATAACATGAGACAACTCTGATGTTGGAACAGTTGAGGGCAAATTAAGATAATGGGGGGGGGGATTTATCAAAACTGGAGCAGACAGATTCTGGAGCAGTTGCCCATGGCAACTAATCAGCATCTCTCTTCAGTTTGCTCAGGTAAGATTTAAAAATGAGACAGAGAAGCTGATTGGTTGCCATGCAAATCCGCTCCAGATTTTGTCTGCTCCAGTTTTGATAAACTGAAACTCCCTCCACTGTCGGTAACCCATCACATTAGACACATCTAGTAGAGTTTGATGCTGAGGCTCTGATGCAAGAACACCAGGGTGCCGTTGGTAAACCATCACATTAGACACATCTTGTGGAGTTGGATGGTGAGGCTCTGGTGCAGGAACACCAGGGTGCCGTTGGTAAACCATCACATTAGACACATCTTGTGGAGGTAGATGATGAAGTTCTGACACTGGAACACCATGATATTGCTGATAATCCATCACATTAGACACATCTTGTGGAGTTGGATGGTGAGGCTCTGGTGCAGGAACACCAGGGTGATGTTGGTGAATAATCATATTTAGCATTGTTCCAAAGCATCCATGTTTGATTCATCGGCAGTTTGGCTGAACACTAAACCTGAACACCACTGAAGTCTTTACACGGCTGTGTCCCCAATAAATTACATGTTTCCATCTGCAGAAATACTGACGGGAATCCCAGATGGCATCATTGACCAGACTGACCAACATGTAAATAGGAAATAAAAACACCCTCAGGGTTGAAAAAGTATTTTATTTAAATAAACAAACCATGTCCCACATTGTAAATCCAGAGTCAATCACATTGTCCAGTGAAATAGATCCATCTGCAATCATGATGAGAAATGCCCCAGCAGCTTGTCCACACTAACACGACAACTCACCCCATGCGGCAAATGATGGTTCCTCAGCCGGATACTGAATGTCAACAAATGCCGGGGATGCTGGCAGACAACACTGACCCCATATGGTCCTAATCGAATGTGGCCATTGAAGTCACCCAGGATACCCCCTCCCCCAGGCGCTTTGTTTATAAATATAAGCAGGTCGGGAATCCGAAATGTCAATTAGCCACAATAGGTTTTTATTTCTCTTAAATGTCACTGTCACATTCTACATGTGCGCCACTTTACCTGCAGGTCTTAGCCTTGCCCCAGGGGTGTTTTCTAACCCTTTCTCTGACACTGACATAAGGCATACAGCTGCATAGAACCACTTCCAGCTGGCCAGGTCAGTATGCCTTACATCAGCTGCATTCTTTTTTTCTGCTAGAGGTTCATGGTCACTTCAACAGTCATAGCTTATAACAGAATGGTCCTCCTGACTCTGTTGATTAAATAAATAGCTGTTGCCAATGGCTGACAAGCCACTGATTTAAAA